TGCAACTGGTGAATTGCAGACACAGGCATCCTAAAATAATACTTAACCATCCAGCCTGTGTGGGTGTTCTCCATTCCAACTCAGCTAAGGTGGGACCTGGTAATTGTAGACCACAGACAATGAGTAGAGTATTTTCTAAAACAAGTAGCCTATTTTCCATTATGTAAAGGGGAAAAATTAGCTTTTAGAAAACCACACCTAGGTTTCACGGATGTCCCTCTGGCTTCTTACGTGACCAGATGGGGGCATTGGGGGAGCAGAGGTAGTCATTGTTCTTCAGAGGATCCGTCAGCCTTTGTTCACTTTTCCTGCAGTTCCCAGAGACCCAGTCAGGGAGACTTTGGATGTAAACCTGGAGCAGCACTGGCCGGCTGGCCCCGGGGGGAAAGGCTGGGGGCACCGTCACAGGGAGCGGAAGCCCCCGAGTGAGAGAAAGGCTGGACTAAAGTAGCACCAGGACCACAGGGGTTTCCTGCCCTTCGTTTTTCTGGAAGGGGAAAGCTTATTCCTGCATAAAAGGTCAGTAAGTCAGGCAGGATTAGAGAGTGAAACAGCTGCTTGCTCACTCTCTCCCTGGGCTTGTGGTTTTCCCCTCCATCGCCCGGTGACAGTAATAACTGTCATCATTGTTTGATTTGTTTGCTTGTTTATTAGCTGTCTCCCCACCAGACTGGAGCCCCAAGAGGAAGGGGCTGACATCAGTCTCCCGCTGCTGTCGAGTGCGGCTCTTTGTGCATTGATGCCAGAGCCCGGCAGCCGCACATGTGGTGTTATGGCTGCATGGGGCGTGACCCTTGCCAGTGCAGTGCCTGCGGTCCATCAGCCTTCCCAGGGGTGGCTCTGTGGGCTCCACCCTGATGGGCTGGGCTGGATGTCTTCTGTCAACGACGGGAAGGACACGTATGTGACAGTGGTGTAGATTGCTCATAGGTAAAGCCTCCCGGGTTCCCTGGTCATCGGGGCCTGTCCCACACACGGTGTCCGAGTCCCCACCCTGTGTTCTTGTGCTGAGGAACAGCAGGCGGTCCTCAGGGGATGGGTCAGTTCGGGGTGGGGAAGGGACACAGCTGACGACAGCTGGTCTGCGGGGTTTCTCCCATTCTTCCCTCTTGGCCTCAGTTACAGCAGCTAAGGTTTTCCCTTCTACTTGGAGGTCCTCTTGTCCCTTGAGACCTTCATCTTTCTCCTGTTCTATTTGTGATTCTGTTCTTCCCCATTCCTTTAAGCTTCCTCCTGCCCAGTATGTCAGAGAGGCATAAACCAGCCAGGCAAATGGATCTCCTTTGACGCTCGGAGTTTTGGTTGTAGCTCAGTGTGAGTACAAGTGAGAGAGAAGGAGAGGGGAGGTGGGAGAGAACAACCCCGTTATGACTTCCGGCCGTAACACAGTCTCAGCGTTATACCCCACTCTCGGGGATGTGGAGAGGCCTCTGAACGTGATCCGACGAGCTCCTAGGGAGTGAAACTCTTTGCCGTTTGTGTTGTGTGAACACTTGGTTCAGTTCCACAAGCACTGTCCAGGCAGCCCCTCTGTCAGACTCTGCACCAGCCTCAGTACAGTGCACATTTGCTTTTCTCTCCTTGGAAGTTGGAAGGGAACTTACCAGTCATCTAGTCTCAGGTCCTTCCTGGGCAGATGCAGAGAGTGAGGCCCTGGGAGGTAGAGTGATGAGTCAAGGTCACAGAGCAGATGTGGGGTTCAGCCTCCTACAAGACCAGCGCTCTGCCCAGCAGCCTCTGGGCTTCAGATACGCTCTTGATAAGCACGGTGTCCAGTCCTTGAGTGCTGACCACGGGCCGGTGCTGAGTGACGCGCTCTCCAGGCCTTCCCTCATCTGCTGCTTAGAGCAGGTGCCACTGTCAGTGTCATTATTGCCTCTGTTCATGGATGAGGAAATTAAGGCTCAGAATAGCCAGGACTCTTGCCCCAAGTCACATGCCTGGTATGTAGCAGAGCTGACGTGCCCTCCAGTTCTATGTGGGCCGTGTCCTTGTGTGCTTTGTGGAATATACAGGGGCACAGAGTTTACGAGAAGCAGCTGGTCCACATCCTCCCTCTCAGTATAGGGAAAGACTGGTTTTCTTTTACTTTTTTTAATTGTGGTAAAATATACATAACATAAGATGTGCCACTTTAACCATTTAAAACATGTAGTTCAGTGGTATTAAGCAGATTCATATTGTTGTGCAGCCATCACCACCATCCATCTCCAGAACTTTATCTTCCTAGTCTGAAGCACTGTGCTCATTAAGCCCTTTTAGTTCACTCAGCATATTATCCTCAGGCTTTATCCGTGTTGTAGCATGCATCAAAGTATTCTTCCTTTTTAAGGCTAAATGTAGGGTTCCATTGTATGTATATATTGCAGTTTGTTTATCAGGTCATCTGCTGATAGACACTTGGGTTGCTTCCACCTTGTATTAATCTGCTAATACTTCATTAGGGCCTCCATTAAAAAAAAAATATGCAGACTGGGAGGCCCAAGCAACAAGCACGTATTTTCTCACAGTGCTAGGGGTGAGAAGTCTCAGATAAAGGTGCCAGCAAAATTGGTTTCTCCAGAAGCCTTTTCCTTGCCTTGCAGACGCTGCCTTGTCCCTGTGTCCTCGCACGGCCTTTCCTCTGTGTGTGTGCATCCCTGGTCTCTCTCTCTCTTCTTATTGGTCACATTGGATTAGGGCCTGGCCCTTATGACCGTATTTTACCTTAGTTTCCTCTTAAAGGCCCTGTCTCCAAATACAGTTACAGTGGGGGTCAGGGCTTCAACGCATGGATTTGTGGGAGACAAGTCAGTCAATAATACATTTCTTGGCTGTTGTGAATAATGTTGCTCTGAATTTGGGTGTTCAAATATCTGAGTCACTGCTTTCATTTCTTTTGTGGGGTATGCGCAGCAATGGGTGCACTGGGTCACCCGGCAGCTCTGTGTTTAGGACTACCATATTTGAGGAAGTGCCTAATATTAGAACCACCTGTTCTAGGAAGCGCCATACTGTTTTCTGTAGCAGCTGTACCATCCAGCATTCTCGGGGCCTATTTCTTAATTTTCAGTAGAGTTGTACTCTTTTTGAGAGGTCACTCCGATTTCCAAGGTCCTTTAGTACGAAGTTTGCCTGGAATCATTCCTTTCGCCTCCAGTAACCTCCTTGGTTACTAAATCTTTCCCAAGACATGGTGCCCTTACTCCTTCTGTACCTCCCGTCAGTAACCTTGGGCTCTTGCTTCTACACTTAGCTGCTGGGAGAATGTCCCAGAAAAGAAGCAGCAGCTGTTTAAAAAAAAAAAAAGGCCTGGTGGCAGGCAGGGGCTTCATCCAGCTATGGGCTCTTCGGCTGCAGCCCCTGAGCACAGGGAGGGTTGTGCACTGTCTTGCTCCATCTTTGTGCACAGGGGAGGAGAGGTCCTGAGTCTGCTAGGCACCTGCCACTTACAAACTGGCCAAGAGAGAACAGATTTAAGACATTCCTCAATGAGCGGCTTTTCAAACACTGCTGTTAGTTCATATTTACTCACACTCACAGAACAGATGAGGGGGTGTGTGTGTGGAGGGGGCCAGATGTAGGGGGACTAGGGGTGGGTGTGTGTGGGTATAGCACATGAGTGTGGGAGGCGGGGATGAGGGTGTGTGTGGGGTGTATATAAAGTAGGCTGTTTTGTGTGTGTGTGTGTGGAGCAGGGGATAAAGGGGTGAGTGGGAGTAGGAAGGAGAGTGTATATGGGGTGTTAAAAGTATATGTGGAGTAGAGTGTGTATGAAGGTGGGGGGCTGGGCACGAGGGTGTGGAATGCAGGGGTGAAGGTATGCATAGGGCAAGGAGTCAGAGTGTGTGCAGAATCCGGTGTGAGGGGTGCATGGGATGGACTGTGTATGGAGTACAATGTGGCAGCTGGATATGCAGGATATGGGTGTGTGGGGAATGGGTTATGTGCAGGGCAAGTTGTAAGTAGGTGCGTGCGTGTGTGAGCGTGTGTTGGAGGGTCATGGTAGGGAAAAGGACCAGTGGCTCTACTTCAGGTAGCCACCCCTGCCGGGACCCCAGCGGGCGGCGGAGCTGCTGAGGGCTTCAGAGCTTCCCCGCTGCCAGGGACGCAGAGTGACTCACTTTCACCTGGTTGGGGGAGTGCATTTGCTGGGCGTCTGCATCGTGGCAGGATCCCTGCGTCAGTCTGTATGACTTTGTTCTTATTAAGAACCATGGGAGAAATTTAAAATGAGAGAAAAAAAGAGGGGGTGGAGGGGAGGTTGTGCTGGGAGTTTGGAAAGATAAATTGTTTCTCCCTCATTGGCTGGGTCAGACTGAGGGGCTAAGGTCATCTCCCTCGATCCCTCCTCTCTGCTCTTGATGAAAGGCAGCTGTAGCCATCCCGTGTGAGAAAAGTAAAGTAACTTCAGAAGACACGTACACTCATGCACGCACACACCCTTCTGCAGCCCACATGCAGATGCAGATAAGGAAGCCCCGAAGCGCCTCCCAGATGCCAGGCAGACTCTGCAGCAGTAACTCTTTGTGCACTGCGGTCTGCTGCAGGCTTTGCAGTGGAGGGATGCTGGCTTTTATGAATGGTAGCCTGGGAGGGGCCTAATGTCATCCGCTCCTGATGTCAGCACAGTGAATGAAACACTTGCAAAGCGTAAAGCCTCAAGCATCCAGGCAGCAGATAACGTCTCAGATTGGTTCTCTGGATGCAGCGTCTCTTGCTGACAAAATCACCAATTCCATGTGTCCCAGATATCTATGTACGTTAGGATTTAAGTGAAGCGGACACTGAGGCTGCCTGTGGAATAACGCGGATCTGATTCTGGCACCACCAGCTCAGCCTGAAGCACCTGAGGCTGAGACCCCCTTTCTCCCAGGTGCTGAGAAAGGAGCTGCAAACCCAGCCTTGGGTGTTAGGCATCGAACTGAGTGAGCCTGATGTTCTGCTTTTGCTGGCAGAATTCCTTGCTGAAGTTCCAAGCCTTGGAAACTGATCTGTGCTCTGCCTTTTTGACAAACCAGGAAGAAGCTGCTCAGGTGCAGGCAGTCAAGGACCCAGCCCCCACGTTGACCCAGAGTGTGCCCGCCGAGGGGGCCGATGCTGCAGGTAAGAGGCTGGGCTGGGGAGGTCCTCAGTTCTACTCTCGGGCCAGTTTAGTCCCCTTGCTGCTTCCTCCTGAACGTGGCCCCTGTGGAAAACAGTGCCTGATGCAACGGGAAGGCTGAAGGGATCCCGGGGAGCTGAGAGGGAGCAGGAGGAATTAAGACTTGCTGGAGCCTAGAGCTCTCTCTCAAACTGGGGGCCAAGAGTCAGATGTCCATAAACGTTGTCAGGTGAAAAGCACCCATCACAACTCCTTGTCTTCATTTTCCTATTTGGTCTCCTGTGATAAGCAAGTGGTAATGCTCATGTCACTGGATTTAGAGTATCTGTGCTGTCTTGAGACTCATGATATTTTTGAAGGATTGAGAGATTGGGGGAGTTTCAACATTGCTATTTCATTTCTTCTGTTAACTGCTTATAAGAGGATCCATCAACCCAGGGGAGGTGGAGGTGAGTGATACAGCTCCTTCTGACCCTATATTGTCTTTTCTGTCTCATTTTTTTAGCATTAATTTCTGTGTTGAAAAGTCTCACACTTGAGTCTCATTTGTCTGTTGGTTTCTCTAGTTTTAATCTCAGGAATAGTAGGTTGGCTAGCAAGCAAAAGGCAAACAAATGCTCCCAGGAGGACTTTGATAGGAAAGAAACACTAATTTACATGAGTAGAAATGAGAACATAGCTTATCTAACAGAAATGAGTCAGAGGTTTACAGACGGGTTTCTGAATGGTTGGTAGAAATAGGCTTAGGTGAGCTTGCTTCATGAGATGTCCTTTATCACCAGGAATTGAAGGAAGAGATTTACAAAGGTAACCTATTTCAGTATCATTAGCAATAGTGCATTTAAGACATTACTGTGTAACCCACGTGGTCTAAGTAGGCAGGACAGTCATCTTCGGTGTTTCAATGTTTTATTAGTAATAGTGGCTAATAATAGCTAGTAATAGTAGCTACTATTATTATTGAAGACTGTCTCTGATCCAGGCACTGTTCTAAGCACTTCATAGCTGTTATATTAAATCCTTAAACCTGTGAAATAATACTATTCATAGTAAGAACACTGAGGCCTAGTGTGGCCATACTGGTAGGTGGAAAATTATTTCCTTATGGATGCAGGTGGCCAGTTGGCTGTTCTTAACGCCTGGTGAGCTCTTCTACTCTGTTGGCCGTTGTGTTTGGATGAGATGCGAGTAACACTGGGCAGGAGCCAATGTCAGACCAATGAGGGAATTGAGTCAGATTATGAGACAATACCCTTCTTCTTCCACCAACCCCTCATTCCACTCTCTGTAAACAATTAACATACAAAACACAAAGAAGTCTCAAGCCAAACACACAATAACTTTTGAATTATCTGATGTTTTGTATAGCTTCACAAGGATCTGGCAAAGACTGTCCAATAAAATATTCTTTGCATGCTGGATATGGATATATATATATATTTTTTTTAAATCATGACTTTTATATGTATATATGTCTTATTTTCCCCAAAGGTCAATAATAGTTTTACATTTTCTCATTCTGGATGGACAGGATTTTGAACAAACTTATTAGCACACTCTTTGTAAAATAGAAATGTGTACTGAGTTGATGTAGGGATGGCCCCCATACAAAGAAACCATCAGTGTATTTCATGAGAAGTGTCAAATGATGGAAATGGGCAGAAGGCTCCTTACAGAGGAGGCTTGCTGGTTGGATGAGGGATTTTTTAAAATGTAAGTGAATCTGAGATGTTCCAGAGACTTCCAAGAGAATTTATGAAAAAGAGAGGCTTCCACCGTGTTGAGTGTGTGTTTGCGGGGTGTGTGTGCTCGTGCATGTGCATACCCACTAGGCAAGAACACTTCTTGCAAGTGTTTAGAGATAAAACCCATCCTGATGTTTTTCACCTTTGCAGAGCTTATGAATAAGGAACCTCATTTAGCTAAAATACCACATGGAAATTGATATGGGAAAGTGAAGAAGTCCCAGCCCCTGTAATTGGACCTTGGAATGCTTTATTTGGTGCTCTAGTTTTATCAGAAATCCCCCTGACAAAATCTAGAAACTGCTCACTAGATGTTTTCGGGGACCTAACAAGTCTTTTTATTTGGCAGGAATATTGTGAAAGTGGTGAGCATTTGGAAGAGGCTTTCACGATTCAAGTTAAGGGGGTGGTTTGGTCTCATTGGCTTCCAAGATACTCATACAGGAACGCGATGCATTTTCTAGTCCATGTGTTACTCAATAGGAAGAAATTTATGCTCTTATTAGGTCAGCAGTTCTTAACTCAGGGCCTGTGCATAGATATCTGGAGTGATCTTTGAACACTCTGAAGCTATAGTTTTTTTGGTGAGCACAAAGCCCTGATGACAGTGTGATTGCATAAGATTAGCACAGATGGCCGTAAGTCTGTAAAAAATTACAGTAACTTAAAAACTTCTACAGTCTAAAATCTTGTCCTGGGCCATATATTTTTAAAATTTGGATTAGTGTTTGTTGATGTCAATATTAGGTATAACAAGGACAAGATCCAACAGGTGATTGTTACAGGAATGTCTGAATGGAATATGCTACCAATTAACCATCCACAGCAGACATTCAGAGATATAAATTGGTGTGATTTAAATAGGTTTCAAACTTAAGTCCTTTAGACTTGATTAAAGCATGCCTTAAGTAAAGCTGTTCAGCTTTGACTATGGGCATCTGAAATGATGTTCTGAGCAGAATACTGTATTCTCTATGTCTTGAGATCAAAATATTGAGTTTTAACTTGTGTTTATAGGATACAAAGATGAATCTCACCTAGTAAAATACCTGAGATGCTCCCCTGTTTTAGAAATCCACTTACAAACTGCACTTGCAGCAAGAGCAGATTGTGTGGCATCCGGAGGGGCACTGTGTTACAGAGAGTATTCTTGAATCTTCCTGTACATCACAGTTACCAGGAAGCTTTTGTACATGGGGATTCTCTAGACAGTCTAGGGTTGGAAGTCCTGGAGTCTTTATAGTTCATAAAAATTCTTAAATATTGGGAACCACCATAATTTAAATGGACAGTGTCTTGAATTAGAGAGAGAAGATCAGGTTCTCTTTGATCAGCAGGAAGAAGCTCACAGACCACGTGGACTTAGAACTCAGTGTCTGTGACAAGTTGGCTCAGATGATCTACTTCAGGAGGAGAAAGCTGCTTCAGCTGGAGCTAGAGATGAATGGCATGGAGACAGGAGCAAACTTGAAGGATGTAGAGACTCTTAGGGAAAAGTGATAGAGGGGGTACCAGCTGCAAGGCAGCCTTGGGACTGCACAGAGAGTAACCGACTGTCCCAGTTTTAGCACTAGAAATTCCACATCCTGGGAAATCCTCAACTCCAGACAGTCCAGGACAGCTCCTCACCATACCTGTAGGTTGCAAACCACATAATGTGAGCTGGAAACCCACACAGTACTTAGGCTCAAAATCCCTCTAATCAACAGCCTCTTACAGCAAATGTTTCCACTGTGGTGTTAGTAAGCGTCTATTCTGGTGGTGTTTATTGGAAAATGGAATGAAGATTGTCTTCTTGGCTGCTTGTCTTTTTCAAAGTTTGTACAAGGATTGTTTGACATTCCACATGGCTAAGCTTAGTAACCCCTGTTCTGTATTGCTGGAGATAATGAAGACTTATTACTAGTAGTAATAGCTTCAAAGCAATACCTAATTACTTATTTTATTCTAAAATCTTGATATTCAAATTGAACTTCCCATTAGGGTAAGAGCCTCGGTGCTTATGTTGATTATTGGTGAATACTGATGTATTATATCTATTTACAGCCTATAGTTATTCCCATAACGAATTCTGCATGATCTGTAGGTCTCTTCCTAATGTTGAAATTGAATTGGGGTAGAGTCAAAGAGAAACTGACCTTCTCTGTCATATTTCAAGACACTGTCTACCTGATCAGAAGTTCCCAGTTACTTTGGAGTGCTTAGTAAACTCAGAGATGTCTGGGCTACTCACCCTAAGATGCAGAATTAAACTGTAGAGATGAGACTTGAAAATCCCCATATTTGATAAGCTCCCTTGATGATTCTGATGTTCAGGGAGGTTCAGGAACAGTTTCTAGAGCACAGCACCCCTCCAAGGGCAACATGAAAGGTGTTCTTGCTGCAGGTCCAGTTTATAATCTGGTTTGGGAGCAGGAAGCATCTCCGGTATCCCACTAAGTGGGGCTGACCATCCACACGATGGTTCATCCTGCCTGCAGCAGCCCTAGAGGGTCTCTGACAGTCAACAAAAGGGGGATCTTCATTACCTCAACCTCAGAAGTGCACAGAATTCCAGCTATCTTTTAGAAACTGTATACATCGAGTTTGTGTATGTTTTTGTGTTTTTTTCTAAGTCCTTCTTGAACCTTTTTGTGTTTTCAGTAAGTAGCACCAGTTGCTTTAACTTGAAGATGGCTACCATTGTAGAAAGTGGTACTTCATCTTTTTGTCCTAAATTGATTCCCTTAATCAGTGATTTTCAACCTGGGTTGATTTTTTTTTTTGCCCCCTTGGAGACATTTGGCAATATCTGGAGACTTTTTTTGCTGTGGAAATGCTGTTGGCATCTCGTGGGTTGGATCCAGGGGGTGCTGCTAAACATCCTACAATGTACAAGATCCTCTGCCTGCCCTGCACTGCTCCAGTAAATGATTATCTGGTCCAAAATGTCAGTAGTGCCAAAGTTTAAAGGTCTTGAAATGAATAGCATCAACATTAGCTAACAATGACCTCTTCACTTGTGCCAGGCATTGTTACATGAATTTTCTCATTTTACCTCCACACCCACCCTGTGAGGCAGGTGCCGTTATCTCCCCAGATGAAAGATGAGGACATGATCTTACAGAGTTAATGTAACTTGTTGATGGTCCTGGCGCTGAGTGGTGAGGGATTGGGAGGAAAGGGAGGAAGGGAGGAGTTTCCCCAATCAGACTCCATGGTCTAAGTATTTCAAACAGTGTCATTTGCCATCTGCCTAAATGGTAAGTCCACATAGT